TAATTTTTACACAGTCCAGTTTTATTTTTTTACACAGTTCAGTTTTAATTTTTACACAGTCCAGTTTCAATTTTTACACAGTCCAGTTTTATTTTTATTACACAGTCCAGTTTTATTTTTACACAGTCCAGTTTTAATTTTTACACAGTCCAGTTTTATTTTTTGTGTGGTTACCAGACCTCTCTCGCGCTACTGCAACACTTGTTATCTAACGGCAGCCATTTTGTATTTCCTTGCGACGATGGATTCAATCATCAGGCAGGCTGTTCGAGAGGAACTGAGACGTTCAAGTTCTAGTCGTCCAGAAACTGCGTCTTCTACTAATCAAGATGATCAAGGAAGAAGTGAAAACGAATCAGAGGAGCGTTGGGGAGGAGCGTTGCGTGACGATACTAAAAACGGCTGCGAGGGAGACTACTCCTGGGCCATCGTACATCATCATCGCTGACCGCTGACCGATATTTCGTATTTGTGACGTAAACGCGCATCTATGCATCCTCGGAGACCCAGGGGCAGATAGTGGGGTCGAGGGAAAGTCTAGACGGGCGGAAAAATAAGGCGCGAAGAAAAGTAAAGAAAGGCGAGAAGAGCCCCTGGGGACAATGTCTTACCAGACCAGTTCCAAACGGTCACCGCCGTTTTGGCTTCTGATTGGTGCCAGAAAAACACAAAGTTTTCTGGCACCAATCAGAAGCCAGAACGGCGGCCACCGTTTGGAACTGGTCTGGTAAGACATTGTCCCCAGGGGCTCTTCTGGCCTTTCTTTACTTTTCTTTTGTGCCATATTTTTCCGGCCGTTTAGACTTTCCCTCGCCCCCACTATCCGCCCCTGGGTCTCCGAGGATGGCATCTATGCGACTAGGCTAAGCGCTAATGAACTCACTCGATCACGAGAAGTAATGACTCGATCTCCTGGATTTGTATTTCGTTGTTCCTCGCAGCCTTGCAGAGAGATTCACCAATGGTCGATTTTTATTTCGCGTATTTCGGCGCCATTGGCAATAGAGAGAGAAGCACTGTCAGTGGAAACAGCCGATAACAAGTGAAAACGATCACAGCCGATTTCGGTATGTACATTGTATGCTGTAGTGTAAACACTAGGGAGTTTAAGATACGGAGACTACGGATTACGAACTACGGCTGGACGAGCGTTGTCCTTTGTTTGTAGCACTGGGTTGAGTCGTGCAAATATAGAAGAATAGAACGTTAAGATTGCTTTACAGACAGTAGACTACGAGAGAACAGGCGGAGAGGGAAACAACACGCAAAGATTTTCTTGTTTTCATCACAGTTCACAAAATTGCAAGTCAGTTTTGCATATGTGATCTTATCTTTAGAACAATGAACAAATTCTTCCATACTTGAAGGAAGCAATTGCGTACAAGTCGATTCGCCTACAAGTTGATTCGCCGACAGATTGTTCCATCACCGTAGCTCGGATGAAATTGGTAAACAAAGTTTTGGTTGCACAGGTTTTATTTTTTCGCCCATGAATACTTATGTCAAATATTAAAGAAATAGACAGAAATAGTAATAGCTCATTTATTAGATTTAGATGATAGACTTCTCCGACTACTGAGCTGATGTGGTTTGAAGTATTGAAATGCCGACTTTCGATTGTCTCGAAGATGTTTACATCATTTTCATTCAGCAAATGCGATACAAAAACTCGCATAAACAAAGGCTACACAAGTAGAAAGACACTAATCAGTTCGAACAAACATTGAAACTTTTCAAGTGCGAAGAGAAAGTAAATTACCTGCATGATTTCTCTTCTCCTCGGCCATCAATCTGAATTCAAACAGCTAAGCTGCTTTAAATATGAGCCTAGCTAGATAAAAATGTAGTCACAACGGTGGATTAAAAGCGTAAATCTGAGCAGAAATTAGACACAACTTACATATTTCGCTTCCCCCTCACTTAAAGTAGGTGAATTGAAAACTTTCTTACGAAAAGACGAGATTCTTGAATTACCGAGGCGGCAAAATACGAGCTAAATGTTCTCCGTAGTCCCGACTACGCGAAACAGCTCAACAACTCACCGTAGCCGCAGGACTACGCGGGTAAAATGAACAGTCACGTGGTTTTGATCATGCGCAGTAGCATGTTTAACCGTAGTCGTAGTCCGTAGTCGCCGTATCTTAAACTCCCTAATAACAATACGAAGTTCAAATATCGTAAACTCCTCCCTTTATAGGTTCCTCCAGCTTGCAGGTCTAACTTACAGATCACTTCCTAGTAATTCATCGATGGAGCAGTGATGTGACCTGTACTGTTCACAGGCTACTTTAGACCCAGCAGCCGAAGGCTCATTTTTGGGGATTGCTCTCAAATAAAACTTGCTATCATGATTCATTCATAATATTTCTTCATTCTGGTTCGCTTTGGCGTCCCAGAATTGACAGTAGTACAAACCCAAAAAAATAACACAAAAAAAATAAAAAAGAAAAAGAAAACGCCAGCTATTCGCTTCACTGCCGCTCCGGTGGAGCATTGTGTGACTCAACAACAACAACAAACGTTATTGTGCTCTTGATACAAAAGTGTAAAGACATTAAAAGGATATAATTGTGAAAAAAAAGAGAGCACAGCCACTCAGAAATAGCAAAAGCTGGACTCCGATCCGAGCGGCTGCAAATGAGACCAACCCTCCAGCTTTTGATCCCTCAAGCTTGTGTGTTTGTTTTCACAATAATGCCCAAAAAGAATTTTGATTCTTATCGTTAATTATGCGTAAATATGCACCTGAATAAGAATAAATTGCCTACATTTATAAGAAGCAGTTCCCTAGAGGACTATCACGTGACACTGCGAGCAGTCTCTCTTTCATTAGGGACCTTAGGGAGCTTTAGCATCGACGACGGCAACGGCAGCGAAAACGTCAGTTTTAAAATGAATTCCCGTTTTTTCAATGTTTGTCGCGTTTATTCCAATTTGCTGAAAATGGCAAGTGAAGGCGAATTTCCCTAGAGTTAATTTCTTGAGGACCGCACTCAAAGTTTAGAGAAAAAGAGATTCGTCGTCGGTTGTTTACGTCCTCCATAAACCTTGCAATTAGACATTTTCACTTCGTAGTCGTGCAAGGACGGTAACGAAATGTACAAAAAAGCGTGATGCACGTGCAAAGTTGTTGTTTTGCGTAATAAACCTATTGCTTTTTTGACGTCCTCGTTGCCGTCGCCGTCGTCGTTGCTAAAGCTCCCTATGACGATTTGACAACGGCAACGTCCATGAAACCCTTGCTGAAAAATAGACTCCGCAACCTTTCAAACCATTTCGCGCTTATCCCGAGTCGCCCAGTTACTTAAAAGAAGGGAATTTATGTTGGAGCTGAAGAGAGAGGGCCGCACCTAGGTTCAGACAGAGAGATGGTAGAAAGCTTCAAATTTGGTCATTTCACGTCGCCGTCCTGCAGGGACGGCTAAGAAATGTACAAAAAAGCGTGATGCACGTGCAAAGTTGTTGTTTTGCAAACTAAACTCATTGCTTTTTGACGTTGCCGTTGCTGTCGCCGTCGTATTTTTAAATAAATAAATTAATTAAGTAATTCAAACCACATTTCAAAAAGTTGAAAAGTTAGCGCTATTTGCAAAGATTTCAGTCTTGCTTTCAAAAAGTTTAAATCAGTTCCTGTCTGTAGTGCTTTGGGTTCAGTTTTATCATCATCCAACCTCGTCCCGCAGTACAACATGAATCGGAAAGACCATTAGGTTTATTTTGGCTATTTCGGCCAAGCACGGCAGAAATAACAATACGTTATACTACAACTTCTATTACATTCAAATATATGTCAGATAAACTAGAACAGAGCTGAACGACAGTTCACAAAGAATACTGTCAGAACGGAGGCCAGAAAAAACCTGCCGGAAAAAACCCTACTAGGGAAGAAACTCGGCACGACATCTGTATCATGGCTCATGTTCTGAAAAGCCCATCGTACGAAGGCTACACGACTGGAAGGTTACTGCCGACTATTACTAAGCATGTATTCCAACAAAGCACGATAAATTCGAAATAATCAGTTCGAGAACAAACGAAAAATAACTAAAACAAGCTAAAACCCTCGCGCAACTCGATCTGTGACTTAATAATCAAATAATAAATAAAAAATAACGTGGGCTAGATGAGGTGTCAGCCTAGAATGCTTTCCCACCTTATAAGCATCCCTTTTTTTTTTCTTTTCTGGCACTCCTTTCTATCCATACTGCACTTCAACTGCTTGAACTTACGAAATTTCTCTTCTCGTGTAGAAAATATCTCACTCGTTCGCATACAGTTAAAATCCGCAACTAAGAACCTACATTTTTAAGAGTTAGCCTAAACAGCTTCTTATATAAATGGTAGTTAACAGAATTTTTTTAGGCTATTTAGGTTCTTAAAATGGGTTCTTAATCCTGGAGAAAAAACAATGCATAATGGTGTGCTGATCTACATATTGCTTAGTATGCTTTGTAAGTCTACATATCTTGCACTCATTTTTCTTTAAAAAACATTTTTACAACAATGGGAATCTGCTTTTTTTGCTTCAAATATGATTCTTGCAATGCAGCTGTAATGTACTAGTATGATTTTAGGAAATAAGAACCTGTTTTAAATTTCTTAGGCTAAATAGGTTCTTGTTTATAGGCGGTATAAATGACCAATTTTAGGCTAACAGGTTCTTAATTTTTAGGTTCTTAGTTGCGTGTTTTTACTGTATTTTTCAACACTCGAAGAGAAATTTCGTATCCCCGCGCGGACATGTACTTTGACGTACGAACGTCAGAAAAATTATATTCTACCTTATAAATAGTTTTTTCGTTTTAAGCCATTGATGTTTATTACGCTGTCTTTTTTACGTGATGTATTTGTAAAAAGTTAAGTGGTTTCACCGTAAAGCTTCCTGGTAAAGCTTTGAACATTTCAATATATGGCGCCAGTTGTGATTTAATATAATTGTTTCATTTTAGAGTGAAATGGCCCTTCCAAGTTCAAAGCAACACAGCCGTATCTCATCTGATGTAACCATTCGCTTCTTCCAGCCAAATTATGACAGAGCAGCTTGTCAGAAAATATTCGTAGATGGAAGCAACGAGAGTGCAAAGGATACCTTTTTGCTTTTTCTGTCAAGAGTGACATGGTATTTTGCTGTAGGAGCTGTTCCCGCCTCATTCACAGCAATCATATGGTCACCGTGGATTTTAGCAGTATATTTTCTGCTTGCGTTTTTATTTTTCGTATGCCCCATCATTTACTGGTTTAGCGTTTACAAAAGCTGGCAGAAATCCAGGTTAAATACAAAGTTTAGTTTGTCTGACGGAGGGCAAATCTGGATTGCAGAGTTAAATAGTAAAGTTGTGGGGATGGTGAGACTCACTCCTAAGCCGGATCCAGGAGTTTCTGAATTACACATGATGTATGTCGTTCCGCACTGTAGAAAAATAGGGATTGGTAAAAAACTACTTACTGAACTTACTGCATATGCAAAGAGGAAAGAAATGGAGAAGATTGTGTTACATACGTCAAGCCCAGCGACTTCTGCAATCAGACTCTATGAAAACCATGGTTTTAAAACTGTCGCCAGTCAGAAAATATTTGGTGGTTTAATATCGGTGTTTACCTTTCAAATGGAGATCTAACATAAATGTTTAGAAGTACAGTAGCCTTAACCAAGAGCCGATTAAACCAATAAAAAAAAACATTCTGTGAAAGGTTTCAAGCTACGAGTCATTTCCGGAGTAGGTTGAGCATGCATGATCGTCTGGGTGAACGTAGTCCTTAATTGGACTGTTGCTGACAGTGACTGACGTTTCCACGTTTTCCATCTTGAGAGTCAAAATGAGTTGTATAGCGTCAGTTAATGGTATTAAACTCTGGTTATTGGCCTGATTGGTCAATTAAGTTGTGATACAAGTCACTTTGACTCTGGAGATGACTACCCGGCACAGGTTGTCGAAATGTCAGTCAATGCCAACAACACCCGGGGCCATACGTCCTTATAAGAGGCTAATAGAGTACTAAAGTGATGACGTCATAAAAATGAAATTTCTGAAATTATGGGATTTGTCAGGATATTCTGAAAGAACAATGTCCAAGAGGCCTACTTGCCAAAAATGAGCATTTCGCGGCAAATTGTCTCTGAGATCGTAGCCCAGTTATACTCAGAAAACTCCATACAAACCCCCCAAAAAATTTAGAAGGGTTTGTATGGAGTTTTGTAAGCATAACTGGGCTACGATCTCAGAGACAATTTGCCCCCAAATGCTCATTTTTGGCAAGTAGGCCTCTTGGACATCGTTCTTTCAGAATATCCTGACAAATCCTATAATTTCAGAAATTTCATTTTTATGACGTCACACATTAGTACTCTATAGACATGTGCTGCTAGAAGAGGTCACATTTTCACGACTGGATTGACTATAATGGGGTCGCATTTTCAATAGAGTTACTAGAATAAGGTCGCACATTTTCTGATTTTTGGGGTTAGACAGTTCTTCATATTTACGGATAGCATTAACGTACCAGAATGTTTGTACTGGAGGTGAAAAGTAAAGTGTTCTTCGAGACTTTTGTTTTTTGGCCATCGTAGTTTGATCAAAGATAAAACACAAACAGCGGTGATAAACATTTTGAAATCTTAGCACCTGGCAAAACAGATTATCATTGTAAGATAAAAGGAACGTTGTTCAGACAAGCCAGCTTTTAATGTCAACGTCAGTGGTGAAAAGCTGGTGCTTTATTAGCTGTTGCCTTTTGTATTCATTAACAATTTTTAAATTCTTAATCTCATTTCCAGACCCCTTGTAATTTTTGTATATATAGTCTCGTCATTTTAACGGCCAGTTAAGATCACTTTTGAAAATGTATGTTGAATAGCATACGAAACGCCAAGTTTATAAAAATGCGAAAACTCACAATGTTTTCACCGCTGTTTGTGTTTTATTTTTGATCAAAGTGTTCTTCATTCAATATGCGGTGGATACATAAATAGAAAGTGACTAAGTTGGGATCGCGAAAATTACATATTTACCCAAAAGTGACTAAGATGGGGTCTATAATTGGCCACAGAATAGACTATAATGGGGTAGGGGCTCTGCGAGGCCAGCGGCACATTCCCAGCAAAAATTAACTCAAGTATTCCCACTCCCCCGGGCAAGGGGGCTCAGAGAGGGAATCTTAGAGCGTTGACTGGGATATGTGAAGTTATTTTTAGAGGCTGTAATTAAACACAAGACACATGCTTTTCTGTCAAATAAAACTTAAGAAGGAACTATATGGTACTTTACTCATTACGAATCAAGAAAAGTAGTTATAGTAAGGCCAGTTTTGATAGAAATGTCAGGTAATTTTGACATGTTCCTGGTCATAATTTCGATCTGTTCACGGTGACATGAAAGGAAGGGAGAACGATTGCCACCCTACAATCCCGGTCATAATTTGTTGAAAAACTACGGGAAGACACAACGAAAACTTGGTGGTTTTATTGCTTCCCTTCCCTTCCCGGGAACGTTAACCGAGTAGACCCTGGGGACTAGACTTTGCCGCGGTTATCCAAAATGGCGGAACGCACTGAGTGTTTGGAAAGTTTGGAAGAAACGAAGAAGACAACAGTTACGGTTTCTGTCAGACTAATAAGATCCTTTGAATATAGAAGTATCAAATATGTTGTTTTCAAAGACGTGTTACTGGATCAAACTGCTGAGGATTTCATTAAATTCGTTAAAACAGGTAACTACATAGGAAAGGTCACAATTCAAGTTGCGAAGATTTCCGTATAACCCCATACATTTATTATACATGCAGCAATTTCATCCTTTTCCTCACAAATAGGTTAATATGAATAGCGTCGAAACATGTATGCATAAAAATTTTTTGGGATTTTACGGAATACCTACAGTTTTTATACACACTTTGCAAAGCTGAATTTTTTTAAAAAGGCAGTCCATTTATTTTTTTCAATGAATTTTTAGTGATCAGGTATTGTACTTGTTTGTAGAGATAAAGAAAAGACCTGATGTTCCTCCTCCCTTCAAAACTTTTGCTTATGGTAGGTACACCTACGTTCACTGATGTTCGTAACAAGCTATAAAACCTGTTCATTGCGTTGCAGAGATTCCAACCCCTTTTTGAGGGAAAACAGGGAGTATTTTTTAGCACTGAAGGCGCTCACAGAAGTGCCCAAGGCTCTAGGGAAATTTTGCAAACTGAGTTTCTCTCAAGTGGCATTTCCTGCATTTTGATATCATTTCTGTGGTATTCTATAAGGTTTTTATTCTTATCACAAATGTCTTTGGGCTATTCTTTGCTGTTGTTAATCCATCGTTTCAGAATCAAACGGGGAGATTTTTTTCACTGCTTTTACACCATGGCCACTTCGAAAAATCATCAATAATTTATTGTAAACTTAATGTCCACAAGGTATAAAGGCTGCATTCAGTGGAGAGCCACACTGGTATGGGTTCTGTTATACTCTCTACTATTGTCACAAACACTCTAAACCTTCCGTATAGACTGCTGGCCTTATGAGTCAGCACAACACACAGTGTTGAGACGGTGAATACTTAAGATAAGCAATTTTTTCCTTGTCTTCAGAACGTCATGATAAATTGGGAGAATCTGATAAAAATCCGGAGACCAGGAGGCAACACATCAAATCAGGAGACTCCCAATAAAATCGTCAGGGTTGGAATCTCTGCCCCCAAAGAATTCCATAATTTTTTATTCTACCTCTAAAGAAATCCTCCATTTTTATAACTTTCCCCTGAAGAATTCTATTAGGCATCAACCAGTGTGGTATGGATATTAAATGCAATAGCACAAACGGATTTCCTGTACAAATTTTCTTGGCTTAGTTATAATTATCTACGTCACAGAATTAAGGAATGCATTTTGTTATTTTGGGGGGAATTCAGATGTACGGTAGAACCCCTGTAACTCAAACTCTGAAGGAGAAAGAAAAACAGTTCAAGTTAGAGGAGGTTGCAGTCATTGAGGTCGATTGAATTTTCAATTTGTCGTGTAAATAATTGAGATTTTACTGATATTTCAGCATGTCAGTAAACATCAGAGTGCAATTAAAACTTATCTCATCGGAAACTGTAACACAACTATGCATTTTTACAACAGGAAATGAATATGTGATCTGTTCATTGCACTTATTTAAGAAAATTGCTGTAGTGTGAGTCTTAGTGACACGACAAGAAGAGCTAATGGGATGGCATTTGTAGTGAAATGCAAGTCATAATTCGAGTTATCAAGGTAAACAAAATTTAGCTCCAGTTAGCGGGAATTCGTGTTATCCGGGAAAAATGACTGAAAAGAAGGGTCAAACCCAAGAGAAATGTGACTTTGTTTATGTTAGCGGGGAGTTTGAGTTATCCAAGCTTGAGTTATCGGGGGTTCTACTGTTGGTGGGGTATAATACCTCCATGCACCACTGTGGAGACACAGGCTGTATTAGACAGGCCAGGATAACCACCAGCAATAAGGCTGATTTTAACAAAAAAAAGACAGCTGTGTTGAAAATGTGGCTTATCTCGGCATTCCAAAACAGTTGGCAGTCCCTAAGATACCCTCTAGATTGCACTCTACTGCTGGTTGCTACCATTTTTTATTTATAAACTGGTTTTAATTATTTTCTTCAGTTGCTGATAAATGTCTAGAAAGCCAAATTCATTTAGTAAGGATTACTTTTACCTTGTATTTGTTTTTCAGATACAATGAAAATTCAGCATAAAGCTCATGGTGCAAAGGTAAGATTGATTATTTTAGGGCAGCACAACAAGCAGCTAATGCCAACTTAAGTTCAATTTATTCTTTATTGTCATTCACAACAAACATCTTTCATGTTTGCTTTATTGGGTTTTAAACAAATTGGAAACGTACTTCAACCTTCATGTGCTCACCTCCTCTTCTAAATGACTGGTCACTTATCCCAGACTGTCCAACCTTTTAGGTATGTAAATTTGGGATATTTTTTAATGACCAAATGAATGCCGCAGGTGCCAAGTGCACAAGCCCCCAGGGGGTCTAGGGGATTGCTTACCCAGAAAGTTTTGAAAACTTGATGCCTAGAAATGCTATTTCTAGTGTTCTGAGAGGACAAACTTGTGTCTAAAATGTTTGCTAAATCAATTGTCATTTTTATGCTTATTTTCAATAGTAATTTTTTACTACAAGTACTCGATTGTATTATATATTTTTTGGTTTTATTAATGTTTCCTGGATATTAGTTGTAGTTAAGTATACTCTGTTAGGTGTTCTTATATTAGTATCCTAAGAATTTATCTGAAAACATCAGAAAAGATTGTCAAAATTGGGATTTTTCCTATCCCGTTTGCATATTGGTGGGGATTCAGGACTTTTAAGCAAAATCGGGAGAATCCCAACGAGATCGGGATGATTGGACTGTCTAATAATTATCCATAACCCATAACACTGATGTTGTTCCTAGCAAAAGCACTTTGAACCTCTGGTACATTAAATGTATAATCAAACTTATGAAAACAAGACTACTGTTAGGGGATAATGGTTTCACATAATTTGTACTGATTTTAAACTGTCAAGAACAACCAGTTTGTACATAACACATATTGATCACATTGCTGACACATATGTGTCAGTGATATGGAAAGGAGTCTTTGCTGTTCCTTGACTGAAGAATGATTACAGGCGGTATAATTATATTTAGAAATCTTACCTTTTTTGTATGCAAACCATGAGATAAAAACAACGTGCTGTAGTTGCATAGAAAGTGGCGTGTACGGCTTTGAGCAGGTGCTAGCTTTCATCACCATTCACCCATGGGCAAATAGTAAATGAGTAATTGACCAATCAGGGTGCGCACTTTTTTTTTTGTAATGTTATATTTGGTGTAATTGAGTTGGGGACAGGTGCAATCACCAAATGATGCAACACAGAAGATTTAAAAGATACTGAACAATAATTCCCACACCACAACACAAAAGCCAACCAAGTTGGTTCCCAAAACCAAGAAACACCCCCTGTGAGTGATCACTTTTTGTTCTAGGAATTTAAGCTTAGGTTGTTGTTGATGTTTTTTGAAAATGTAATATACCTAGTAAGTAAATTTTGTTTTCTTTTCTATAATTACTTTAAAATAAATTGACTTTTTAGACAAGTGATCCAGTTATAAACACAGAAAATGATGAGGCCCTCATTTTAAAACTAGACTCCAGTCTTCATGACAATGGAATTGGTGAGTGAAATTAAGTTTCATTTCATTTAATATTTATCCCTATGAAAAAAATTCAAATTTCAATTCCCTTTACTCTCTGATCATATGAAAAGAGATTTTAGCTGTCTTTCTTGGTCTCCAATGGTAAACCATAAATGGAAAATCTAGCTTTTCTCTTTTTCATGCCTATTGTACATATTTAAAATGTACTAGCTCTTCACCTGAATAATAGGCATTAATGATCAGCGTCAATCTGACATCAGCCAGAACAGATGCACTATATAATGGTGATGAAACCCTGTTCTGTCCTGCAATAATGTGCCTTCCACTCTACCCCCCCCGACTCAATAATTCAACAACAACAAAAAAATGAATAAATTATTGTATACCATTATACATAATTTTATCTTAAACTTCTCAACAGAACATGAAACAGAAATCTCTCTTTTCAAGAAAGAGGATTACAAGAAATACCAAGCTAACCCAATTTTAAAGTGGTAGTCAATACAAGGCTGTGCTCTAAGTAAAATTCTAGGAAGCCCAATGCTCTAGATCTGAACCTGAGAATTCCAGGGTGCCCAGCATTTAATTTTAATGCAAAAACGAAGATTTTGTAATTGCCAAGGAGCAAACTTAACGCACCAGTGGCCACCTGGCGCTGTTAGAGCACAGCCTTGAAATATGAATTAATTTTTAACCAAACTTAGTGAGTGAAATTTGTAACATTAACTTTGTACAGCTTCCAAAAATAATTTTATGATTTAAAACAACTTGATTCTCGTGACATAGTCAGTTTGGACGGTCACTTCAGATCACTTCTCTTTTCTGTTAATTTATGACTTGGTTAAGTCCACTTTGGACACAAAACTGAAAAGTATTATCTTGTTTTGAATAAATTATGCAGTCCAGCATAGAATGTGCCTGCTTTCTTTACAAACATTTTAAAACAACTTAAATATGTGAAAGAATGTTTGTAAAGAAAGCAGACATATTCTATCCTGGGTTGCATATGTTAAAAAAGGGTACTTCCAGAACATGAAAATGCTGCCCAAATCTAATATTTTTTACCGTTATGATGTATAGAATTATGAATACTTAAATTACCATTTATCATCAAAATAATGTATTATAAAGCTTAGTAGTTCAATGAGAGTGGTGTGACTCTTCAGTCTGTGACACAAGAAAAAAAGATTTTAAAAATGATATAATGGGAATTTACATCAGCTAAAGAATTATAATTATTCACAGTTAGAAGCACTGCGGGCTACTCTTACTTCCTTTTTCAAAATTTTTCAGTTTGTTAGTATCATTTATTATTTTATTTACCTGCTGGTGGATTTACCTGGTTGCTTTTACACCTTTATAAACTGCCGTTAAAACCACAGGTTACCTGGGCAAACCACCTGGTGACTCAATATCAGGACTTGTGCAAGGTACTGTAAATGATCTAATAGACGCCCGGGGCCTTTTTATTAATTTTCAGGGGCACACAACGAGAACATAGTTCAAAACCACTTAAACAGAGCATTGTTACGCGTATTTTAGTATTGAAACGGTAGATATAGGTAGAAAAGGCGACACGCGGCGTGTCGCCTTTTCTCGCGTGGGGTGATTTTCACGCCCGCTCGCGTTTCGCTCGCTCTACTATCCCTGAGGACAAATGGGGGACTACTCGAAGTCTATATTTTTATCCCCTAAAAATTTTTTAATCTGTTCGGATTTCCTACCTGAAAGTCTAGTGATCCGAAAATTATAGGGATCAAAAATTACCTTTTCGAAAATTTCAGCCAGAAAAAAGGCTCCCGAAAATTCTAGCTGACCTTTTTAGGGTAAAAATCCGTTAAAAATGGGCAATTATACCATTTTTTAGATGTTCAAAATCCTAGGAGAGGCAGACAAGCTGAAGAAATTTTACAACAAATGTTTCGAAAATTCTAGATGTCAAATCATCTTCCTAACAGATATTTTCGGAAAATTGACGTTGGGTGCCCGGCCTGAATTTTAGGAGCGCAAGCGGGAGCATTTAACAGATTGGAGGCGTTTAAAACTGACCGTAACAAACTGAAACTGATACTCTCTCAGCGACTATATCACCACAGTTTGCAAACAGTAGACAATCCAGTCCATCCAGTGATGTTTCTAGGCCAATTTAGAGATACATATTTGTTTTTTTTTTTAAATCTCAACTCCTCACTTGAACTTGGCGTGGAACAAGGTATAATGGGCAAACTGTTGTTAACCAAGCAAGAAAATAAATAATTTCAGTTATTTTGCCTTTTTTCTTTATTTCCTAAGGTAGTAATTTGGAGCAATTGTTTTGCGGGGCGTTTATTTGGTAGGGACGTAAGGGTTAGGGTAATACAAACGTAAAACGTCTGTTAGATCATTTGCGGAGCTCGGGTCACCTGTGTTAGATTTCACGCCTGCCTCTTGTAGATAAAGCGCTCAGAGCAAACCACGCCCTTGGGTATATTCTCTCTAGTCCAGAAGTCGGAGTTTCGCCTGGACTCTCTCGCAGCATAACTCGAACATTTTCAAATGAGCCGTTATTTGGTTGTGGTTGAATTCCGAGCACATGGCACATCAAAGGATATAAATCAACTATATTAAACGGCTGAACTTCGAAACCCTTCTTAAAAGCAGGACCTTGTGCGAAAGAGATCGGATAGCTTTGATTTTCCTGCGGTGGCCAACCATGTGTCCCGCAGACCCACGATGTGTTTGGGTTCCCGCGGGATTGTGTGACAGACCAACCCAACTCGGGATCAATGAATATGGGGGGTATTCTGCGATTGTGGTTCCAGTGGAATGATTCGGGGATGTCTTGTTTCTTGTAAATTTTCATGTGTGGGTTCTTTACCTTTGTGAGATTTTCAAATATTTCCTCCTGTTTCTCATCGTTTGGCCAGATATGTCCCAGAGCTGTTGTTTCTGTCATCATGTACGCGGATCGGTCGAGATAATCATCTAAAAATATTTGACGGGCCGAAGAAATGTTATTAAAGCTGTGATCGCTGACAAAGATTAAATTGACGTTATCAATGAGGTTAACATCACGCAAGCGCTTAGTCAGATAACCAACGACCTCTCGATCAACCTTCTCAATGGCTTCCTTATACTGTTTGGAATGCGAGCCGTAGTCATGACCCTCCCAGTCTGGGTGATCAATATACACCCCTACAAACTGGGGTGGTTCCTTAGATTTTAACCAGTTAATTACCTTATCCAACCGGCTTTTGAATGGCTCAGTGTAATTAGGAAAACAGTGGATGTAACTCGGCCATGTGGGGCGTGTTCCCGGGGGGGACCTCCCATATGAAACAGACGCGGATGCTCGTCGGAAATTTTGAATTTAACCCCTAAAGGAGACCATCTGGGCGTGGCTCAAGCTTTTTGTGACCCCTAAAGGAGACCAATCTGGGCGTGGCTTAAGCAAATTTTGACCCCTAAAAGAGACCGCTTAAAAACATACAAATACGACATGCAACAAGTTTTAATGATATAAAGACTAATCATCGAATGCTTTTATCTAAAAGTAGTTTTTAAAAGCATTGTCATATATAAATCTCAAGTTCTTCGCGGAACCCTAAACGAGACCCTGGCGGCTTAAAATATTGGCGCTTTGCCCGGAACACCCTAAGCGAGACCAAAATCCAAAATTTACACCCCTAAGCGAGACGACGAGCATCCCCGTCTGTTTCATAAGGGAGTCCCCCCCGGGGGCGTGTTCTGTTCCTGTATTTAGGCAGATCCTTTGGATCAATTGCACTGCAATTCACAAGGCAAAAGGGTTTCTCATAGTACGTGGGTTTTTCGGTGTAGCCTTCCTCTCCGGGCCAGAAATATAACCCGCTCTTTCCTCCTTGTTTCTGTAGCGTCAGCCAGATCGGTTCGGCAGCCTTATAGAACTTGGGATCCTTCGACGAACAGTCGTAATCGTAAATATACATCTCTTGGTAAAGTGGATCCCAGAACTTGTTGGAGACAATACCGTGGCTTTCTGGGTAAAGACCTGTTAGGTAGGAGTGGTGAGTGGGCCAAGTTTTTGTTGGGACAACATTGAAAGTATGCTTAGCTCGAACTCCGTTCCTACCCACTGCATCTAAGTTTGGAGTACCGGCAAACTGTCCACTGATGAACTGCCATCCCATGCCATCCAGGGAGACCATAATCACGGTGTCTTTGTTCGCTCGTTTCTCTTCTTTGGAAGAGATGCCGTTGAAAATGCAAAAGAAAACGAAGCAAATTACAGGGCAAATACTAGTTGTTGTCCCCATTTGTATACTCTTGAAAAGGCTCGAGGACCCTCGAGCGTTTGGTGTCTAGTGAGGCAGAGTTCGTGACGTAATGCACTCTCGCGATCCCTCAGACCCTGGGTAGTAACGCGATATAACGCAGTCACCCAATATTACGCGATAGGCTACCTCTCCGCCGCCGTGTTGACACAAGCTTTAAATTTCGCTCTACCTCCATTCAAAAGAGAAAATTTATATTTTAGTTCAGAGTATTCGCACGAAACGACTGCGTCCTTTCAGGCATGGCAAAAAATTCATTAAAAGTCGTCAATAAAAAAAAAAACAAAAAATGCAAGTTATTTTTAAAAGGTTCCTCGAATCCTGGGCTTCATCAGTAGAAACTAAGACAACAAAATGATAACAACTGCTTAGCTTAGCAGCTAGCCTCATAATCGTTGTTTCACATTTTAATAAAATGTTACATTCTAAAGTATAGTGCCATTTTAAAAAACAAGCTTCTAAAAAGTCCTGGTGAAAGCAATCAGAATTCTCTAGTGTCCGCTAAAAAGGACTTTGTCACGGCTTTCTTTTTCATTTTGCTAATAATTGAACTTGAAAAATTACTTATAAATCAGACAAAATCACAGCTTCTTGTCGGACAAAAATGTCTCCTGAGCATTTTTCAAACGTTACAAACAACGAGATAAACTTTTTAAAGTTTTAAAAAACCACAGTCGCAATCCGTTTCGATCTTCTTCAAGTTTGTCGCCTACTTTTATATCTACTGTTTTATTTATAACTTATTTTACTGTTTTGAGCAGTTACACAGTACATGTTCAACTCAATTTGCTGGCGATCCCAACTGTCTGCATTTTGATACATCTTATGGCACAGCTCCTTTAACACCCGTGGGTGTCTGCTAAATACAGGCGGTTCGTTTAACAAGAAACTTTTAAATGGAGAAGTTCAGGACCTACCGAAACGGTTTTCCGCGCGCTTAATACAAGTTTCTCTGCAATGAATGCTTGTTATGAATAAGGATTAACAAGTTAACACTCAATTAACAATCATGGCTGCTAAATAGCAAGTTTTATACAATGTACTCCAGGCCCTAGAAAAGAGTAACCTATTCACATCTCTGTACTTCATACTGTCCAGTATGCGAACTAAAGCTTAGAAATGAACAAACGACAACAAACTTAGAAGAAATGTCACAACACCATCATAACAGCAACAGCACCTGCGGCAACTAAAGCACGAGATGACCACGTGATCACGCTCCATTGACCAGCGGTCGGTTTCTCCCCGTCAGGCTCGTCGTCAGGCTCGTCTTTGTACATCTTCTTCACAGTTGCCATGGTTCCGTTGTTAGGGCGAGGTTCTATACCCAGTAAATCGCACATCATTGGATAAAGATCAAGAATAGAGAAGGGCTCTATCTCGTAACCCACTTTGAATGCAGGCCCTTGGGCGAATAAAATAGAATGCGTCTTCGATTTCTGTGGTGGCCAGCCGTGATCCCCTCGGACCCATGTTCCTTGTCTGACGGAAGCGTTGGTCTTGGCTAAAGTCCACCCGGGGTCTGGCTCAAGGTAAAGGGGCGGAATACGCCGATTGTGTTTCCAGTGGTATTCGTCAGGGATATCTGCCTTTTTGTACACAGCTAAGTGATCAGGAGTGTTGGGTTTCGTCAGGTTGTTGTAGATTTCGTCTAACATGCCCTCATTTGGCCAGATGTGCCCAATGGTTCCACCCTCTACCAGTCGGTATGTTGACGGGTCGATGTAGTTTTCCAAAACGATCACTCGTTCTGAAGATGCGTTCACCATGCCATGATCGCTTACGAAGATCACGTTCACTTTGTCAATTAACGACACATTCTTAAGCTGGTCCATGAGATAACCCACAGCATCCCGGTCCACTTCTTCAATGGAGTCTTTGTAGACTTTGGACAAAGCGCCGCCCGAATGACCTTTCCAATCCGGTGCATCAATATACAACGCGACAAAGCGAGGAGGATCATCAGATTTTAGCCAGCTAATGACACGGTCGACTCGACGAGGAAATGTCTCAGTTTCGTTAAAAAAGTCGGGATAGCAGTGCTCGTAGGGTGGAAACGAGCTTCGCGTCTTGTTGCGTAGGCTAGGGAGGTCTTTAGGATCAACAGCGCTACAGTTCAGCTTACAAATCGGGTGTCTGTAGAAGCTGGGAATTGGTTTCCAGCCGCCAAAGCCCGGCCAAAAGTACACTCCACTGCGGCCTTTGTTTTTCTTTGAACGCTCCAGTGTCAGCCATATAGGTTCGGATTCGTTGTAAAATTTTGGGTCAAAAGTCGTACAGTCATACTCCAGGATAAACGTTTCATCGTAAACTGGATCCCAAAACTTGTTGGAAACCAACCCGTGTGACTCAGGATACAAACCAGTGACGAATGATACGTGCGTCGGCCATGTTTTGCTCGGGACTACTGTCTTGATGTACTTTGCTGTCACCCCATTTTTCGCGACTCTGTCGAGGTTTGGTGTTTTTGCAAACTCCCCGCTAATCAGATTCCATGGCATTCCGTCCATGGACACGAGAATGACTGTCTGCGGTTCTTTTTCTGCCTGTGAAAAGTTCAGAAAGAAGAACGCGAAGAGCGAGATGGCTAGTGGCACGACACGATCCATTTTGTTTGCGCTTCTTCTAGTGGCACTCCCTGATATGAAATGTTTTGACCACTTGATAGATCGCTCTTTTTATTCCTTGACCTTCTGATAGTTGTGATGTCACGTCATCACTCTTGTCAGATTGTTTGGTCGATATTTTTCAAAACTCATTAAAGAGATTACAAGAGAAAAACTAATTTGCGTTATGCTGGAAGCTAGCAAGATATCTCTTAAAAAGTACCATTGAGTTGGATTCGTTAAACTAACAAAAAGATTGTAAAAAGAGGAACAAAGGAGTAGTGAACTATATTGCCGAGAAACCACTTCTCTTGTTAAGAACGGCACACTTTGTTTATTTCGACTGTTCCGTGCCTGTATTGTATTTTGTCAAATAGTACACGCGATCACGCGAACTCGTCATTTCAGATCGGGGATTCTAAAACCTCTGCTCTTCCCTGCAATCTGTACTTTTCAAAAAGAAAACAAATAGAACATATAACGAATTAAAACATTTTTTTATTTTATTGTAAATGAAATGGAGTTTCTATTCATAATTGATGTTTTCCTTCTTTTAGATTTATTGACAGTAAGCGATATATTACGGAGCTTAAGACGACAGCAAGAACGTAAACGTCAAAAAACAATTGATTTATGAGGAAAACAACAGCTCTGCATCATGTGCATCACGCTTTTTAGTACATTTCTTTGACGTCCACCGGACGACTACGACGTGAAACTTCCTAATGCGACGTTTTATGGAGGACGTGAACACGCGACGCTTAATTTTCCTTTCCTTTTTGAAGATAAAATACAGCGTTTAAGAATTCAACCCCTAGGAAAGTTCACCAACATTTGACCGATTGATAGCGGCTAGATAAACGCGATAAAGTGTAAAATAACACAAAATCACGTTAATTTAGAGCGTTTTCACGTTTTCGTTTTCGCTGTGGCTATAATTGGCCGGTAACCGGTAAAGGTTTTCAAAACTCTAAATGACCGACAGTCCGGTATTTTCAATAAATTTGACTTATCTAAGAATGATCTACCACTACTAATCCCAACTATTGTATGTCGATTAAGAAAAGTCAAGCGATCCTGAAATGCTTTATAGATCTCAAGTCTAGCGTTTGGTTTACGCTGGGCTCAGAAAACGAAACCATGTTTCGTGACACTTAGAACTTTTTTCAGCTTCCTCTTTCCTCTTTCCTCTTTCCTCTTCCCTCTTTCCTTTTTCCTCTTTCTTCTTTCCCGACTTATCTAGGAAAGATCGAAGCGACTCTGCTAGCAGTGTAGACTGCCGTTCATTTAGTGTTTTGACAATTTTGACCGGCAGTCGACCTGAAAAAAGTTTTCAGTGTTACAAAACATGGTTTCGTTTTCTGAAACCAGCGTGAACCAAACGCTAGACTTGAGATGTATAGAGCATTTCAGGATCGCTAGTTTCCTAATCGACATACGATAGTTTAGATTGGTTGGGATTTTTAGATAAGTCAAATTTATTGAAAATACCGGACTGCCGGTCATTTTGTGTTTTGAAAACCTTGACCGGTTACCAGCCATATAGCCACAGCGTTTCGTTTTCCTTCGTCCTCCTTATTGCGTAAACTCCCACAATTTACCGAAACAAGACAGCCATAATCTTTTTATCTTTTTTCTCATTTGCTGTTGTTTGGGCACTCAATACATACTTTTCCGCCCGTCGTTAACAGAGACATAGCGATGCGACCCTATCTCCTTCGATAGACGCCATTTTTCGCATGCATCAGCACTATATACAGAGATGGATTTTCTGCTTGCGTAGTACTTGCGGGTTAGGAGGGAGCGTGGATATGTGTAGGTTTGTCCAAAAAGGCATTCTTTCAATTTCATTTACCTACAAATACTCTCTGGCTGAAAACCGAGCGACTTTTTCTTGTTTTGCTCGGCCTTTTAAAATTGTAAATAGAACAGTTGCTCATGACTTGATTTGGATTTGTTTCTTTTGTTTGGTTGATGAAAATCTCGTCAATAAATGAATAAATACAAACAAATAAATTTATTTATTTAATATGTAATAAGGTACGTCTCTTTGCATTAGTCTGAGATACCCCGTAAAATGTGTTTATAGCAGTTTTCATTGCCTTTTTCTCTACATTCTAACCCTTGAAAACCCACCCTATTTATATACCTCATATAACTCTCCACACGAAACCACTGAACTGCCCACTGAAACCTGCTCATCTTTTTGAAACCGCTTTCCCAAGAATCCGATCGGAAACTGCAAATCCAACATGTCTGGATCGTGTTAAGGTGGGACCTGAAAAGGTGCCCGTCCTTTGTCACTTCTTCTTTATCCAAAGGGTCTACATTGGATAAATATTGGTAACTTTTCGAGTCCTGAAAGCTGTTTTGTGTGTGCTGTGTTTACATTCAAGGTCAAAGTTTCAATGATTTTGAAAATATGATACAATGAAACTTTCGTCTCTACAAATTACCATAATAACAAAGGATCACAAGTTCTTCAAGTGAATACCTTTGCGCGGACGTTTCGGTATCATCATGACAAAGGCAAAATGAATAAGTAATGCGAAGATTTGATTTCTATAGTCTCTACAAATTAGCATGAAACTATGAAACTATCAGTTAACGAAACGACTGGTTTCTGACTGTGACTGTACATGTGCCCCTATTCAACAAGTTTTGATTTTAAAATTTGCCTTCGGGCCAGAAAAGTTTCTGGGCGTTTCGTAGCCTGCGTAGCAAGCGTTTCCGCGCGAGTTCGTCGAGAAGGTTGGGACAAGAATAAAAAAAAAAGGAATGACATTTTTTTTGCTCCCGCTCCAACTTTCGCGCTATAACTCGACTGCAAACGCTTTCTACGCAGGCTAGGCGTTTCGAGAAACGGGGCCCAAGTCCTGCTTTGCAATCTAGTGAATAATGCAGTAAGACGTCCATCGCTGCCGCTTCCTGATTGATGCTGGAGTATCAAAGATTAAAGGGGCTGTGTCGGGGCTGTTTCGATTCCATTTTATTTAGTCTGCCAGTTTACTCGCCAAGAAAACTAACGGTGGTAAAGAAATTACTTCAAAATGGCAATACAGTGACAGCTTCAGGGCAGAAAATCAAACTGGTCGCAAAAATCAGACACACTGTATGGCTAAAGAAGTTTTATACTGAAAACAACTGCAAATTACCCGAACCACCACCAGCTGCTTCCCGATAAAAAGAAAATAAGTAATAATAACAATAATGCCCTTGTACGTTTGTGTGTTTTTGCTCTCTGGAAAAGTATGAGAATACAATCGCAAAACCTGCAGGTGCAAAAGAAGTGATTCCGAGTTTTTAGTGTCCTTCCGAAGGCCTTGCCTTTTTTTCTGGAGGATCGAGCAAATAAGAAATTGTGAATTGAACCTCCAGGCTCAATTTTTGCCTAACAAGCATCATATTAGACTTATCTACAAGTCGAGCTCAAACTTTTTCACGAGCACGAAGCGCGAACGGTAGATTTTTTATATTTTCTGCGGCAAAAGCGAGTGAGAGAGCGGAGCTCCATTTGCTTCCCCTGGAAAAAATCGCATCAAATGAAGTCATTTTGGCGCGAACTATTCGAGTCCCTGTCGCGTGTGTCGTCGTGTGTCTTCGCGAGCTGTCAAAATATGACATGTATTCGCTCCATGGCTGCCAGGAAAATCCGGCCTTGGTAAAGTACTCAAATGGGGGAAGAAAAAATGCCCACCAAAACGCATTTGCACTCGGCTTTGTATTTGAATACAGGCCATAAAGCGAAAGGTAGAAGAAAGGTTTAGAAAGGTAATTTACTATCTTAAAACAAACGCCACTGAATCGTAGTCAACAGTTACCGGTACCGTACAAACGACTTATTGACGGAATTAAGCAAAACTAACTAGGAGAGAACGACGGGACAACTGCCAATTTGACTAACAATAGACGACTGTTTAACTGTGTGACAATAGACGAATCGAGAAGTATCAATGAAATTGCGAGTCTTCATAGCCAATAACATCACGGCTTAAGTGACAGACGACCAAATAACATGGCGACTTAATTGGCTAATCAGGTCAATAACTAGAGTTTAATAACATCAACTAAAGTCATACAACTCACTTTGACTCTGAAGATGTCTACCGCACAGGTTGTCGAAACGTCAGTCATTGTCAACAAGAACAGTCCTATTCAGGACTACGTTCACCCGGACGATCAAACTCAAACTACTTATGAAATGACTCCTGGGTTCAAACCTTTCACAATCTAATAAAAAGAGGTTTACTTTATCACTATATTTCTCATTTTTAAGTCTATTAAGAATTGACAGACAAAAGGTATTGAAAACAGAAAGATATGAGACAGAGACGGCCTGTGAAACTGCTCCTACGTGAGGAGGTAGTGCCAGTTTATTTGCTTAACAAGTTAGTGGTTTGCCCGGGGGTACTTTAGGAATTTCTGGGTGGGGATGTGCCGCTGGGACCCTGGAACCCTTAACCTATACTAGAGCTAGTTCAGCTGAATTTTGCTACCCTATACTAGAGTAAACTCCCCAAATCCGCCCTATCCTAGAGTAGCTGTTTCCCTAGTCTAGATAAAATCTTCACCCAACTGATCAGTTTCCTGAAAAATGATACCCTATTCTAGACCCAAACGCTCTGATTTATATACCCTATCCTAGAGTAAACTGCTTGAAAACCATACCCTTCACAGCGGCACATACCTATATTGCCCATATGTGGCAGTGCCCCCCCCCGGGGTGGTTTGATCCTGCACTGATGTACAGAGAGGTAGCCCCTTTCTGCATGCCAGTTCACTGACATTTGAGTTGGTTTCCCATTTTATGCAGAATTCTACGGCGCCGAATCCCTCAGTCAAAACTGGAAAAACCTTCCGTCAAGAATCAATCACAGCCAGCCCTCAAAATTCGAGAAAAAGAATGCCTTTGAATACAAAGAAATTGCCATGCATGTTGTAGATTTAGATAATTCCCTGGCACTGTTAAGTCACACCTTAACAAATTGCGTCAAACTTGAAAAAAAAATTGGCCCGAGAAAAACCAGTTTCGGTATTCTTTCTTCAGTTTTGCCTGAAGAGAGGAGATAATTGGTCCCAAGGTCCTCTCTTGTTTTGCCCATCCGGGCTCGGGCATTGCTCTTGTGATCTTTTACAACTGAATCATCTGTTTTTGTTTCACAGTTCGCTCCGATCCTTTCGTTGAAGCTGAAATGCCACCTAATACTTTGTTCCTGTGTCCATGTTCCTTTGCTTATACCTCTGTTTGTTTTGTTTTCTTTTGAATATTTCACACGGCGTGCTCTGCATTAATATCCGTTTCTACTGTATCTTGATTTTCTTGGGCCTTAACCGCTTCGGCGGAATTTATTCTTGCCTTTTTTGCTTTCATTTTTACTCCCAGGCAACTCACACATTTATAACAACGCTTTCCTAACACGTTGCTTTTTTCCAAGTAAGCGACAACAGAATCAATCAAACCCGATAAAAAGGACAGGCCAGGCAGAACAAATACGATAAAAATGGATTTTTGGTTTTCAAACGGGATAAAATCGCCAAATCCAACAGTGGAGTACGTCACGAACATGGAATAAACAATAAACACAACAGACTTCTCTGGCTCCAAACGCGCTTGGACTGTTGTTACCACCACCCAAGTTAAAACGAAGCAACATAAATTGATGCACATATTTGCTTTTTCCAGGAAAGGACATTGGGTTTCTGGGCAGGCCATACCGTGACGTTTTCTGTGTAGGGGTCTGTTTGCCTTTTTTAAACCGATGTTGACCAATTTTCCAACGGCACGCAATGCCAGGAGAGTGATTGGGATTCCAGGAAATGCGTAGATAATGGTAAAAACCTGGCCACCAGCTGTTGCAGGGGTTATGTTGCCATAACCTGTCAACAAAAACCGTACGGAAAACAGTTTTCAGTACATCTGTAAACCTGAAGAAGGCTGGTATGGCCAGCCGAAATATTGTTATAAAAAACAATACACGTTGTTTTAAATCACCTTTGCAGTAGTCTTTGGACTTCTCGTTCTTAGTTTTCAGTAACATGTTAAACCTTACGTCTTGACTCGAAAAATCAGTTTGCCTTAACATTATTGACATTTTTTGGGTAAATTCAGGCAGCAGTATGTAATGAAAAGAACAAATAATAAATTCCTTGGGGTCATGATGCAACTACAGCAACAACAAGTGGCGCACAACAGATTTCGTTCGACGTGGCTGCACGCTGCAGCATATACAGAGGGTAAGTGAACTGCTTCCGAATCAATATTAAGGGTTATGTTTTTTGCAAATATGACTTTGCGGTCGCTGTTCAAGGTAAATGTGAAATTTTAGGGAAGAAACAAAACCCCGGATGTTTTGGCAGAGGTGTGCCGCGCAGGCCTTCAAACCCTGACCCTGTTTTACGACAAAAATCTTTCTTTCGCTGCCCTGTTTAAGGTGGCTGAACACAGTTTGGTACGTATACATGCCAGTGATGTGAGTCGTTAATATTCATTGGGGTGTTATTTAAGATCAGACTCGTTGCAGGTATAAAGCTTAAATTTGTCGCGGACAAAATATATTTATAAATTAAGACACTACGTTTATTAGGTTTTATTATATAGACACAAGTGTTTTACTGTAAAATATACCACTAGTAAAATTCATAAAAAACTACATCCGGGACCCGAGTGGTTTATTTTCCATAGGCACAAGTGAGTTTATCGATGACGTAATTTCGGTAATTTCCTCCAAAATTTGTAGGCGTCTTGCGTCCTTTGAATTTTATTTACACATTTTTCAAAGCTTTGCTTATATTTTGTCATTGTAGAGCCCTATTCAGCTAAGTGTTATTTCTGTAAAATTTTTATCGAAATCGCCTCTAAAACAGCCGAGATATAAGCGTTTTAAAAGAAGTAGCACAAGCAAAATTTTGCCTTATGAATTTATTCAGAGACAGGTGTCCCCCTCGGCCTTAAAGGGCGATATTGACAAGAATTTTGCCAAATGTTGTCAAATTCTAATGAGTAGATTTTGAGATATCGTCGTTTCTTTCAGCGAGCTTAAGCAACAACGACTACAACGGCAGTGAAAACATCACTAAAAAAATGTATTTGCATCCTTTCAAACTTTATCGCGTCTATTTGGAACCGCTCAATTCGTCAAATGCAGGCGACTTTCCTGGAGTTGAATTCTTAAGGACTTTTCCATGTTCAAATAGAGAAAGGAAAATTTGTCGTCGTATGTCTACGTCCTCCATAAAACGTCGCATTGGGAGGTTTCACGTCGTAGCCGTCCGGTGGACGTCAAAGAAATGTACTAAAAAGCGAAATGCGCGTGCAGAGCTGTTGTTTTCTTCATAAAAACAATTGTTTCTTGACGTCGTCGTTGTCGTCGTTGTCGTCGTCGTTTTAGTTGCTTAAGCTCTGTCTATGAAAGTCAACAAAAAATCGTTCTCACATTTTTCCCTAAGTACGCATGCTCAAAACTTGTGCGCGCGCCGGGATCATGCGATGTGACAAAAGCGACGAAAACGGAATAAACTTCTACAGACAACTTCTGGCCATTTCTCTCAGCTGGTCCTCACATTTTTACTAGAAAATCCCATTGGCTGCATGTCTTCCCATAGTAAAAATGTTAACAGTAGAGGGATAAAGCATTTCAAGGGGCGAAAACAACGAAGTTTTCATTTTTCCAGACCACGTCAGTCTTTGGCGCGCGCGAAAACAAATGTTTATGTCAGAGAAACTGTGCTTAGTCACTTCAAGAAAAGAGAGCTTACTTTATTACCCTGATTCCTTTCGTTTGTACATACAGAATAAACTAATTTTTCCAACTAAAATCACGCAATAAGATATTTTTAAAAAATGTTGGTGCCGCAAATGTAGACCGCTCATCGCCAACCTTCCAGTTCAAAACAAAAACCACCCAGTTCAAGAAGCGAAATGGTGAAATTGTATACCCTCTTTAAGACTCAAGACCCTGATCAAAATCATTCCTTGTTTAGAGGCTCACCCGTTTAGGCCAAATAAAAAAGTGCCTCCTCCCCCCCTCAAAAAACATTTCAAAATTTGATGTTCACCGCATTTTAGATAGTTATGCTTTATTGAAGCCACGATATATTGGTTTATCCTGATCATTTTTTAAAAACATCTTTCCCTTTTATCAATTGTGTAATTTGACACAAGAAAAAAAATAAATTAAAGGAAGTATTCAACCCTTACCTATTGTAGTGAGGAGCTGCAGAACAAAGTAGACTGAATTAATAAAGCTCCATGATGGTTTGTATCCATTCTCTTTCAAACTTTGGAAATCTTGTAACATGTTTGTGACATTTTCTCTGGAAATGTTATATGTCTTCATCCACTTGAGCAGGAAATCATCCGTTTGTTCAGCAGCGTTTTGATCTTCCTCTTTTTCGATTTGCATAAAAACCACTCCACCGATGAGCACGTAAATAGAAAAACCAGTAAGACGTAGTAATAACTTCTTCAAAGGAGCCTCCTCCATATATGCTAGTCTGACTATCCTTTCTTACACAGCCGAAATATTCTTACGCGATTTGAGATATTCTCGGTACAATATCTTCAAAACTTTGACGTTAAATTTGTTTCACTTCAGTTGATATCGCTACTGCCGTTAATTCAACTGGCAACTTTTTGAGGTTGCAGCTGCACTAGTTATGTCAATAAAAACAATGCTAATCAGCCGTTTATTTAGCCTGACAGATATCATACCTGCAAGTCAGTAACTAATAAAAGGTGTTTTTAAATGATAAAATATAATATTTTTCGCGAAGTGTTAAGATTTTAATTGGCTGCGAAAGCGACTCACGCAGATGTATTTCAAACTTTTTTCGATGGTATTACAAGGAACCATAGCCCGCCAGCAAGCTCTTCATTTATGGCGAGCGATGCAAGCTGTGAGAGAAGCGCGAGCGAAGGGCTAAGGAAAGGAGAGCTAGCGCTCTTTTTTTAATTTCCCCACCTCTCGAACTCACGTCTCCTAAACCTTTTTCTTTGTTTCTGGTTCAGTAATATATCAATACGTGCTTTAAAACGAAGTTCCCTTCAAGCTTCCAAAAAATTAGATTTTTAAAAACACCTTCTAGAGCTATTACAGTCTTAGATGTCTAGACAATTCATATTATTTCTCGCTACTCAGTGCCGAACGATTCCGTCAGATTATTCATACAACCCAGGAGACTCATGGGCTTCTGACACAACACTTTCATTTTCGTTTTGTAAAACTCCTGAACCATCGCTTTTGAGGCGACCTTCCTGAGAAGTAACTTGTTTAAGATTTAGAAGACGATACAAAAGTGTGGACGCCAGAAACGCCGATATACTGTAAAATTCCGAAAATAAGCCCCTCCAAATATAAGCCCCTCAAAATCTTAACGCAAAAAACCCTCCGTTAAATCGCCCCTCCGTATATAAGCCCCCCATGGGGCTTGTACATGGAATTTGCTCTCGACTACAAAGTAAAACAAAGCAAAAATGGTGAATTTCCTTCCCACTACAAGCTGGCCCAATCGATTTTGAAACGCAAATTTCCCTCCGTACATAAGCCCCTCCAAAAATAAGCCCCTCAAAAAGGGTCTTTGAAAGATATAAGCCCCGGGGCTTATTTTCGGAATTTTACGGTATTTGCATAAATTAATATGGTCTCTCTGGTCTCATGCAGTTGAAATTATACAGTTTTCTTTATCTTTCTCGAATTAATGTTGATTACTCAAGTTAAAGGTCACGTGATCGGCTTTTCACCATCCTTCCCTCTTTATAACAACTTCGTCTAATCAAACTACGAAGGATAATAGCAGAGCTCTCGCGCGCGAAGCGCGCCAGCGGAGCACCATGGGTAGGAAAATTTGGTAAACTATCCATCCGAGAAAATTTGGTTATGACGTAGCGTACGAATGACCGTTCTTACACCCACTACATGTAAGCCGATGTCAAATGTCTGGTTATTTTGGCGGGAAAGCGTATGGCCACCTGCGTCTTGTGAAGCAGAGACAACTAAAGGGTCAGTAAAGACGAAAACGGAAAGCGGAAAATTTTTCTGTATTAAGACAGAGAAAAAGAGAAAGTAGGGCGACAGGCCAGCAAAGCTCAACGAGAAAAGGAGCTAGAGCGAGAGACAAAAAATAAAGGGAGACATTTTTTGTTGGACGAACAACGTGAAATTTTGTAGCGGCGGGATGCTAGCGGCCACCAGGGTGAAAATGAGCGACAGTAAAAAAAAAAAAAAAGTGAACAAGAACACGTACGACACTTCCTCCATAAAACGTGTAACCAGGAAGTTTTTGGACGTTTTACGTTGCAGTCGTTCAAAACAACGGCAAAGAAATGTACAAAAAAAGTGTGCTGTACGTGCAAAGTTGCTTTTTTGCTAATTAGACCTATTGCTGTTTTTTTGTTTCCGTTCTTGTTGCCTTCGCTCCTTAGCATTATACGATTTTATATTTGTTGTTTGAGCAAACTATAAAAGTTATCGAAAGCTTCGCTTTTAGCCCTGGCGAAATCTATATATTAGGCATTGCCCTTTTTGTGGATCCAATCTAATAGAAGACGAAGCTCACTTTCTTTTTCAATGTCCTACATACTCTATGATTAGGAATAAATTTTACTATAAAGTCAAAACTCTGATTCCAAATATTACCCAGTTACCTATAAACGGTTTGATTAATGAACTGATGAACTCCTCTAATTTCTTTATCAATATACAATTAATAAAATATATTTCAGCTTGTTTTGATGTTCGTGACAAATTATTATCAAAGTAAGGTAATTTCCCTATGATGTAATTTTGATTCCTAAAAATAGCTTTTGCAATACTGTATGTACTTGTATGGTCATGCAAATAAAGCTCGTTAACGTTGTTGTTGTTGTCGTCCCCAGCGCCTACTGCTCCTCTTTTAGCCAGTGGGACCTTCAGAGCTTTGAGACCAAGAATCTCGCCGTCATTTTGATTCCCTTATTGGCTCTCAAATTCACGATTTTGGGTGAGACAATAATTTGCTGGGTTTTATTTTCGCGATATCAATAGGCAAATATTAAAAATAGGCATTAAATTGCGTGATTCACCCGTTCTGAGGTTCATTTTATTTGTCAAAAAACTCTGAACTTTTTAAAATTTCCATTACAAAATGGAACAGTACCATGAGGGGAACAAAAAACACTTAATTATTTAAAAGGTCACACTTTGATGAAAAATAATAAATTGATCTTTATTTATACACTTCACTACATGTTGTACAGCTACAAACCGGAGCCCCTGCCACAAATGCGTACATTTTTTCTTTGTTTTTCTGGATTTTACAGTACATACTGTTTACACGAAAACAGTCCTTTGACGCATTTTTTTCTGGTTCCCCCGACAACCTAAGGAAAACAAATGAAGTTGTTGGTAACTGGAATTTCTTGGAATAATTACTTCAAAAAAAAAAGATAGACCTCTCTCCTCCGCAGAGACTTCCACTGGGTATTCAAATGTAAAACTAGTAATAATAATAATAAAAAAAACGGTAAGCGCGCGGTGGGTGATGGGAAAGGGAAAAGGCCTAGTCTTCCTTTCTTTCCTCTTCCCATGGTCCCCTGCCCGCTATATTTTGCTCTCTTTTCAGCCTCCCTAGAACACAAAGAGGCTTCTGCAGAGGAGAGACAAGATAGACCCTTGAAAGCTTAGATCCGTCTGTTAAGCACTTGTCATCAAAATACTCCTATTTATTTACTTATTTATTTATTTATTTGTTTTCATTAGGGTGTTTCTCTCAAAACGACTTCGACCGACATGAACAAGATATTAATGAACCAGCCATCCCAGTATGTGAGAAATGGAACCGAATTAAGCCTACCTGACGAATTAATTACCTGTTATCCAGATTTTTCCACAAAACAAACGGGCTGAGAAAGAAACAGAGAAGAGTAAATCAACAGGAAAATATATCCCGTTTTAGCAAAGCAACTGGGCAATGAAATAGTCCAGTATTTCTCAGTGATGTAAAAAACAAAAACAACCTAGCACAGAGGGTTATAGCCTGCGTGACAGGTGCAAAAAGGGGAGGGGGAGGGGGGGGAGGGGAAATAAGGGCTACTTTAACAAAAACAAAAGATGGTACTTTGGGGCATATCATTTGGGCTTTCGTAACTCGTACAATTTTAACTCTGAAATAATTTGTTTCGGACTGCGAGACACTTTTTTTATAAAGAGGTTTGCAAAACGGTGATACAATAAAGATGCAAGTGTACTTAACTATATATATTTTCTTTCTTTGTTTTTACGTAGTGTGTTCAGTTTCTGTTTCTTCTTCCACTATCTCACGTTGTTTGATTTTAAAACGCCGTTTGTACTCTTCATCTGCCGCCAGAATATCGAACATGTATCGCGGCTTGGGTTTTCCTGTTCAGAAAAAGAAAAAACTTAAAAAGTGTTATACTGTTATCAAAATCAATAAATTCGTCCGAAAAAATTTGAACATAGACAGAAAGAGATTATTTACCCATTTTGTTGTTTATTTTTGTGCCATTTTCTATAATAAAAACATACAGATTAATAAACAGCTTGTGTTCCAGTAATAAGTACAGTATAAAAACCGCTTGTAAGAACCTACATTTTTTGAAGTCTGGCCGCCAGGTTAATTTTGGGGTTGGAAATTTAGGCAAAGCGGGTCCTTGGTGAGGGTCTTAATTTCATGAAGAAGATTGTGTTGTTGATTACTTGAAAAATATAAAATTTTAGGCGTACAGAGTGTCTACGTATCAGTATGTATAACAAAACTAGTAACAGAATGTATTTGTATCGTTATCTCTATTATCAAGGGTAATATAATTAAAAACAATATGAAATAAATAAATACAATAACTCGTAAAGAGAGTACTATTTTTCTTGTAATGTAAATTTGCAAACTCCTTGGTTAAATGTTTATCAAAATTAAAATTTGCCTGTAACCGACGTATAAGAATCTGCTTGATTTTGTTACTATATTTCTGGGTTAAAATGGCAAAATTTCTTCCAGCAGGTTCTTTAACCATTAATTTCGTTACACGCGGGTATTATTCAATTTATTTCAATCTGCATTTGTTTACCTGAATTGTTAAGTTTGCTAAGGTGAAAATACAAAGACGACACATAGGTCATGATGCTTAGTTCATCCGGAACATCCATGGACACCAGGTCACTCGCATCCAGCAAGGCCGGGATACCAAGCTGTTCCTCTGCCACTTTGAATGCCTATTGACAAACAAAAGTGAATATTTTACAAACTGATATCTTTTACAGAAGAAGAAGGCAAAAGGGCCTGTTTTGGGTTTTTTATGGGATCCGCTGGACGTAAAAAGGCAAGGGGTTTTGGAGAAGAGTACATGTTCAGAAGTGCGAGTACTTTGGCGCATGCGCATAGACATTTTCCCGTTCTATTATGTCATAGTTTTGAGACAGAATTTTTGCATACTTAGTCCTCATTAAGATAATGACTTTCGAAAGTTCACGACTCCTAAATGTCTTTGCCGGAGTGAATGGATTTATTTTTCATTTTCTTTTTCAGCTTTTGACCTTGGGCGAAAGGGTTTAAAACCAGTATACAGCTATTTCGAGAAAGGTTGTCGGAAAAGATCTGCACGCGACAATCCCGAAAGGTAACATATATGGGATATAATCAATACACCGTTCCTGACACTGCAGCTCTCGAACTTGCGTTTGTTGCTTTCCTTTAGGAGCTCGCAAACATACGTCCATGGCCTCTCATGCCATTCTTTTAATTTCTTTGAAGAATAGTGTACTCAAAACCACCCACAATACCTTTAGGGATTGTCGCGTGCACTTTTCCGACAACCCTTCTCGAAATAGCTGTATGTATTGTGAAGAAACTATGAAACAGACAAATGCGGGTATTCTCGCAACTGATAATGATCATTTTCGGCATGAAGGTGACATAATGCTGGAAAACTTCTCTTCTCGATTATTTCTGGTTTACAGATGTATACCGCGATTCAGGCAACCTGATTGCTTCCTGATTGCAACACGAAAATTTGAGATAAGGTATGACGAACTGGCGGAACCTGTTTATTTATACAGGGATAGTTTTGGTAATGTTTTAGATTCCCTATCTTGAATGCTCAAACTTGAATGGTGTGATAAAGGTGTGTTAATTAACCCGCTTACCAACTCGTTATTTTTTAACATATCATTCTTGCAGAGATTGGCAAAATCGCTGAAAGCAAAACAGACAACATGATAAGTACGATTTAACATCTTTAAACTGGGCGAAAAAAGCATATAACTGTTTTGTAAACAGCGAAGGGGCCAGTCAAAACATACCATAACTTAAAAAAAAATAAAATGACGGAAAAAACACTGATTTGGTAGAAATGTGATGACATCAGACACTCAGATTTGATTTTAAGACCAGTTAACGATCTACATTTGTTAAAACATGACTTGATTAACAGCTAATTTACGGCCTTGCAAATTCGAGGCCAATTTGTGAACTTCGATCATTGTTTTGGGGGTTCGCCGGCGGCAAATTTTTGATACAAAAAGCAAAACTAAATATTTGAAAAACTGAAGTATAAATGTTACTCAAAGGTTTCAAAACGTCAGTCGTGGTTGTGACTTAAACGGCAGACGTTAAAAACGCAAGATTCTTCTGATTCAACTAGTTTTTCGATTAGAGTATTTTAATGGAAAGATTAACCCTCTAAGTTTTGCTTTTGTTTCACGCTTTTCAGTCGGTTGCTAAGACGTGTTGTTTCTTTTAAAGAAGCGTTCTTTTGCCTGTCTGACCGTAAAACTGGGTCTTTTGTGAAATTAGTAATATTGACCTTCGTAAAAAACTTTTGCAGATCACTAATCTAACACAGCGAAGTTGCAGGTCGTGTATGTTGCCAGGTACATTATAGGCAGATGGTAGTAAACAAACATGCTCGCTTGAAATACAAATGAAATTCCTGTTGTTGTGTTCGAACAGTTTCAGCATACGATTATCTTTTTCATTTATTACATGATCTGCCAGCTGTTGACAAGAACAGTGCTTTAAAGAAACATGTAGTCTTCTCGTAAACATGCTGTGATGAAAAGTTTGTTAAGGAAATGAAAGAGAACGTTTACTAGAAATCTTAGTCATTTTTTGGCTGGTGACCGACCGAATAGTCTTCAAAATAAACTGAAAAAATCGCACTTGTTTTCGACGTTTAATTTGCGTTTGAAATCAAAATAACAATTTACTGAGTAGACAGCCGTCATACAAACCAATTTTCCTACACCGCGAAAAATTTTTGGTTGGAAATTACAATCAGTTTGAATGCTTAGCAAACTGTTCGGAATCGAAAACGGCAACAAGTAGGTCTCTCAGACGTACAAATTAAATCGAAATGCTTGGATTAAGATATCGTTTAATCAGAAGCCAAAAATAAAAAACAGAAGAGAAGGGAATGAAATTTTCTTACATGCAGTCCGGTTTAAACCTGTGTACTATGGCGCAGAAAGCGAGGCAATCTCTCCAAGTGGGCTGTGAGCAGTTTTGCCGAATGGCAGAGGTTAAGAGAGGTTCAAGTTCCGGTATTAGATTGTGGTGGTCTCTTCAAGGACTACGATTTACACAAGGTCAGTGCAAGGTTACCGCTCTGAGCCCGGAATGGATGTTCTGTCGCTAAACTATTGGTTGTCAAAATTCGTGGTGGAGTTAGCTAAAAAGTCCGGTGAAAGATACCCTCTCAAGACTGTTTATGGTATCACTTGTGTGCTCAAACGTTATTTGGACTGTTTGGAGGAGAACTTGAATGGATCCGAAGCTTTGAATCCTCTGGAAGCTAGTGACAAAAGGTAATTGACAACTTTTAGACCGCATTGTTCAGAATTTAAAAAATGCACTGTTTTGGGAATTGAATTTGGTGTGTTGTTTTTCGAAGGTTTGTCCTGTTCCAACGTTGCTTAGATGCCGCGATGCGGGATGGCTTTCGAGAAGGGCTTCACATTAAGTGCAAGAAGGAGGAGAAGGAGTTTGTTAGCGAGCAAGAAGAAGCAACATTCTGGTGTCTAAGAAAGAATAATATGTTGCCCTATTGTTGTTGTAAGTAATGATTGAAGCGGCAAATATACTGTATTTAGTATTAAGACTGATTAAAATTCAAGTTTCTTGATCAGTGTCTTATCAGTTTTTGAACTAATCGAATGTGTCTTGATCGGTATGTTCATTGGGTATCAAAATACATGCACCTGACTCAATTGATGCAAGCTGATTGGGTCAACAGCACATGTATATAATTAATGAGTTTGAGAACACAAAAGCGCAAATTCATCCATCGGCCAGCACTTTCGTGTCAGACGGATGTCCAGCCCGCCTCGTGTGGTTCATATGTCAGATTGGAAAATGACAACTCAAGGTTGGCAGGTGTTTGCCAAAAATGGGGATTGGATACTACTTAACTGAATGTAATAAATGTAAAGGCTAGTACATCGGAGATGCTAAACGCCAACTTCCTTAATGATAGACTTGGAGAACACCGCCGATACATCTTGAAGCACCATCACAGCGATCCCACTCCTGTCTCCTTACATTTCAATCAAGCTGGACACTCAATCACTCAAAGCGAAATATTCGGCAAATTTGTTAAAAATATATATTTTTAGTTTTATTCTTTTGTTTACTTGTTCATCACCTCGCCGTATGGATCAGTTTGCAAGCTGGCGGTGCATTGTAAACAACAAAGGTGTCGACTTTACACATGTTCGGGACTGTTTCTGCACATTCAGGGTTGCTTCCTGTCCCGTGGGTGCAACCCCCGTTCGTTTCCCTGGCAGTATGCCCAGCAATTTGAGCTCGTGGTCTCCGACAATTGTAGCTGAAATGGCCCCTCCTCCCACAAATAAAGCAGGCCACAAATCGCTGCTCCCAGCTCGATTTGTGTCTCCTTAATTTGCTTGGTTTCGTTGGCATTTCCTTCAGTATTTAAATCACGTCGGGGTCACCGAATGTTACGTTGTCTTCAGTGTCCTTTAACTTTATTTGCCGACCGAATAGAATCCGTACAGTAACTATTTACTTCTCTACACAACACTGGGATTTTCCATATCCCTTCCATATCCCATCATGGTCTTGGGTGTCAGCCCCAGACTTCTACGTCCTACAATAACTGCTGCTTTAACTTGAGCCTGCTGTGAATTTGCGCTCTTTCAGTCTTATTCGCGAATTTTCCTACCCATTTACTTTGTCAAATGTGGATTTGAATTCGTGGGAACGATTTCCAATTTCAGAAAGAGAAATGAAATTTTGCCCTTGCTTGTTTATGGTCTCCATGAAACGCGAAATTAGGAATTTTTACGACTCAGTTGTGCAAAAACAGCTGAGAAATGTACAAAAAAGTGTGATGCACGTGCAAAGTTGTTGTTTCGTATTAAACCTATTTATTATAATTATTATTTTAATAATAATAATAATTATTATTATTGACGATCTCGATGCCATCGAGTCGTTGGATCCTAAAGTCTTTAATATTCCCAGCAAAATAAGAGGAAGGAATGTCATTTAACGTTTTGACGTATGCGTCACGTGAACGCACATGCTCGATGGAAAAGCAACTGGTTGCTCGCAGTGGTTTCTCTCCCTTCGCAGCGTAGCGTCCGGCCTGGACAAACCACTGCTGGCAGGTCATAAACAACCCGACGTACAACTGCTTTTTTCCTCTTCAAACATGCTTCAACAATTAAGCTTCTATAGCGAGAGGCGACAACCCAGTTTTGTTTTTCTTTTCTTTTTCTTTCCCCTTTTTTTCCCCTTTAAAATGTTACACTTTTTCTTCAAATTTCTAAGCCAGAGAAAATTGATTTAAGAAATTTGTTGAAAATAGATTCTTCAACCTCTCCATTTCTTCCTTTTTTTCTGAACAGTATCATACTTAAAGGAGCTACAGTAAAAACTCACGAGTAAGAATCGTGTTTTTGAGAACTTATTATGCACTAGTCAATTGACTCTCCCGACCCCTGGGAGAAGGCAGAAATTTGATATTTATGGAGTGTTAACCCATTCGCTCCTGGAGATTTTGCCGAAAAACGCGTTTTGAAGCTAGTCGAGTGGTTTTTTGGTCACTGTCGTGCTATAAAGAGCTAAAACTTACCACAAACCGGTTTACAGGTCGTACACTTCGCGGCCTTCTGATCCAGATGCAAAATATCAGCTTGCGAAGTTCGGACATGCATAGAAAGCAAAATTTCGAGACTTTTCCTTTTCGCTTTCTCTCCTCCCCTCTTTTTTCGCTTTTCTTGCCTCATTGTTTTTTTTTTCTCTTGCTGGGCATTTTGTAGGCTTTGTTTTGGTGGGAAGAGTTTTTAGGAAAGTTTTTAGGAACTTAGGATTACGTGAAAGGAAAGGTAGGTGAGCAATGGAACAAGATTTTCATGGAGATTTTCAGGTCAATGTCACATGGTTTTTTGCTTCTTTCTCCGGTGTCCTTGACTGAATTGTGCTCCTTCTGGTATGGTTTGAAAGATCTCTTCACTCTGCACAAGTTAGCAGAGAAAGTTGTCCTTGACCGTTAAAACTGATGACGTCACAAAGGGTAGAAAGGACGCGGATCCGCACGGGCGGTTACGGGCGGTTCAGGGGCGAATGGGTTAAATTTTGCCATTTTCCCCGGTCAGGGGGGATTCATTTATTGTTAAAACCCCGGATATCATATCCTCACTGGTAAAGGTCCCAGTGTTTTTTGGCTGATTTTTCTAATAAATACAAATTAGATTATGATCTCTTTTAAATAAATTATCAAGCACTGATTTTCGATTGAAATGCTCCTCATTCGTACAATTTTCCTTCCATCGTCGAATGTTTACAAGAAAACTGCGATGTCTAAGTCCCGCTGCCTTGACTCAGAAGAATTAGCAATAAACCGCCAAAAATTTCGTATCTTTCGCATAAATTTACAAATTGAATACTCTGGTCAGAAGCTATGGGAGTACTTGCATAAATTCGTGCACCGTAACACCAAGTAATAACCGAAAGAGCCCAGGTACAACTCGTTTAGAACCAAAAGTCCCAAAGAGGTCACACACCTTATCTTCACCGGCACAATGGGCAAATTTGCATAATAAACAAAACCAAACTCAGAGGAAAATAATCTTTACTTTATTTCTATCAATGATGAGAAACTTTTTATCATTATTCTTGCTGGTTCCTGAAAAATTAAACGTAAAATTGACGGTGAAGATTGTGTTTGCCTTTAGCA